AAGGATGTCTGTGGTTCTACGACATTAAATACGTCAGTAAGTAAATACCCCACTGGTGAATTTAAAAACGGAGGTTGCTAAATGAGACGACTAAACGCCATCAAGCCCAACATTAGCCAACTTTAGCTTAGCGGTGGTGACGTGAAGTCATGTGACCGTGCTGTAGTTCCTTTATAGCCCAACATTAGCCTCCTTTAGCTTAGCAGTGGTGACGTGAAGTCATGTGACCGTGCTGTAGTTCCCTTATAGCCCAACATTAGCCTCCTTTAGCTTAGCAGTGGTGACGTGAAGTCATGTGACCATGCTGTAGTTCCTTTATAGCCCAACATTAGCCACCTTTAGCTTAGCGGTGGTGGCATGAAGTCATGTGACCATGCTGTAGTTCCTTTATAGCCCAACATTAGCCACCTTTAGCTTAGCGGTGGTGGCGTGAAGTCATGTGACCGTGCTGTAGTTCCCTTATAGCCCAACATTAGCCACCTTTAGCTTAGCGGTGGTGGCGTGAAGTCATGTGACCGTACTGTAGTTCCTTTATAGCCCAACATTAGCCACCTTTAGCTTAGCGGTGGTGACGTGAAGTCATGTGACCATGTTGTAGTTCCTTTATAGCCCAACATTAGCCGCCTTTAGCTTAGCGGTGGTGACGTGAAGTCATGTGACTGTGTTGTAGTTCCTTTATAGCCCAACACAGGGATTTTAGCCTTTGCAGACCATTTACATGCACAGAAACCTAAATAATACACTGCAGGAAAGGGAAAACCCCCAAAAAGCATTAAAAGGCCTATTTAATTTACTATAAAAAAGGGTCTGACCATAAATGCGAAAAAGAAGAGCAGTTAGAAGTTGGAATAAAGTTAATAACGTACGTAGGATTTACACTTTATGCCTTGAAACAGTCAAACGAGGACAAAAGTTGAACAACACTTCAGGGATATTTTGTGTCCTCAGCTCTCTTTTTGTAGAAGTCATCACCACAAATATAAAAGGTTACAGCGAGCGGTTACACAGGGATCAAACCCCCCCTCTATTATGCAGTCGAGTTGCATGCAACACACACAAACACTGCTCTGCCTCCTTAAACGAGCCCACATTCAGCGGTCTGTGTGAGTAAATCTCTCATTAAGTAACACATGGTGGAGCCATATGCTTCGGTTGGTGGGTCTTTTTCACACGCTCAGAATATACATATTTACCACTGGAGCCGGTGTACAGTGGCATTAAAAACACTAACAAACGATCAGAGACGTTGATGTGTCATTTATTACTGAGTTCAAGAAAGATTTAGGTCTGCAAATCAAGATGTTGAAGGATGGCATTGGAACTGAATGTGAACCAGTAGTGGAAGATTCTTTACTGAAGTCAAAGTAGAACTACTATGGCCTTAAAATACTCCGATACGGGTAAAAGTACTGCATCGAATATGCCACTTAAGCAGAAGTACATAAGTATTATTAGCAAAATGTAAAAGTAAGCAGAATAGCTCTCTCTCTAATTGAGTTAAATATTTGTATTATATACGGTATCATCACGATTTTTACATGACTTCACGTCCGCTAAGCTAAAGGTGGCTAATGTTGGGCTATAAAAGAACTACAGCACGGTCACATGACTTCACGTCACCACCGCTAAGGTAAAGGTGGCTAATGTTGGGCTATAAAGGAACTACAGCACGGTCACATGACTTCACGTCACCACCGCTAAGCTAAAGGTGGCTAATGTTGGGCTATAAAGGAACTACAGCACGGTCACATGACTTCACGTCACCACCGCTAAGCTAAAGGTGGCTAATGTTGGGCTATGAAGGAACTACAGCACGGTCACATGACTTCACGTCACCACCGCTAAGCTAAAGGTGGCTAATGTTGGGCTATAAAGGAACTACAGCACGGTCACATGACTTCACGTCAACACCGCTAAGCTAAAGGTGGCTAATGTTGGGCGTGATGGCGTTTAGTCGTCTCATTTAGACACTTGTTAGCAACCTCCGTTTCTAATTTCCTTTACTGACGTATTTTATGTCGTAGAACATCACGTTAACATCTCTTCAGCTTGTATTAACCACAGACCTTATTTTAGGATAACAACTAATAACACATTCAGAAAAACCTCCAGACGAAGGAACAGGAAGTGCTAAAATGCTAACTCCTTTCCACGTTTAGGACTCATTCCTGCACCGCTCTTTCCCATCTACGATCACTTTGAATACCCTTTTTCCTGAAAGGGAGAAAAGGGATCAAATAAAAAAAGGAAGTAGTCATGGTGCCGTTTATATACGAAGCTGAAGTAGCTCCAGGACTGAAGGTGGAGGTCTAGATGTTGTCGTGGATGTTCGTGAACTCGCTGCCCCTGGAGGCCAATCCATCTCCAACGAGACGCTCCTCCCCCCTCTCCAAAAAAACCTCTCCCTTTCTACCAGACGCTCTCCTCAATTACAGCCATAATGGTTCATTTCTGCACCCCGAGACACTCGATACACCGAGGCAACCCAGATTCTGTGTGAGACTTGGCGAGAGTCTCAACTCTGGGAAACAAAGAGAGTCGAACAAAAACAGAACTGGCTCCAACCTAGAAATCACTGTTTCAGTCACCCACACACGATGCTGGAAGAAGAGATAGATATATACTATGTAGAAGTACTCGGAGACAAAGTAAAAGTAGGAATACTATGACTTTAAAATACTCCGTTACGAGTACATTCCCAAGTAGAAAATGGTACTTAAGTGGAAATACAGAAAGAGTACTGTCGAGAAAATGTACTTCAATTATCAAAAGTTAAACTCAGATCCTTTACTTAGGGAAAAGTAAGAATACTATGACTTTAAAATACTCCGTTACAAGTACATTCCCAAGTAGAAAATATAACTTAAGTAGAAATACAGAAGGAGTACTCTCAAGAAAATGTACTTCAAGTATCAGAAATTAAACTCAGATCCTTAAATTAAAGTGGACCTATCATGCTATATTTGAATAATATATTGTAGGGCCATACCTATATAAAACATGTCTGTGAAGTTTTTTTTTCAAAATACCAAACAGATCATGCATTTTAGCCATGCCTCATTTCGCTCTATTTGCTCTTTTCCAGCCCTGTTTTTGCAAGGGCTGATTCTGTGGCAAATGAGCTGCAGCTGACCACGCCCCCCTGCAAAGGAGGGGGGCGAGGCACGAGCGTCATGTTACCATGCTGTTACCATGCTGTTACCATGCCACGGCAACCTCTCATTCCCCTGATAGGTGGAGAGTTGCCCATATAGGCGGAGCTCCTCGTTCCTGACGTCAGAACAATTCAAATCTGGATCAGTTTTTATCAGATCCGTTGCAGCCCCGTTTTTAGAGATTTGGGTATGGAGGAAAATAGAGAGGGTTGTGTTTTCTGACACTTGGTGAGTTCCCTGGAACACCGGGGACACATATTCATGTATAAAAGACGTACAAAAGTGCATTTTGCATGATAGGTCTCCTTTAAGTAAAACTAGGAATACTATGACTTTAAAATACTCCGTTACAAGTACATTCCCAAATAGAAAATTGTACTTAAGTAGAAATACAGAAGGAGTACTGTCGAGAAAATGTACTTCAAGTATCAAAAGTTAAACTCAGATCCTTAAATTAAGTAAAACTAGGAATACTATGATTTTAAAATACTCCGTTACAAGTTAAATTCCCAAGTAGAAAATGTTATTTAAGTAGAAATACAGAAGGAGTACTGTCTAGTAAATGTACTTCAAGTATCAGAAGTTAAACTCAGATCCTTTACTTAGGGAAAAGTAGGAATACTATGACTTTGAAATACTCTGTTACAAGTCAAAGTTGTTATTTGAAATGTTCCTAAAGTAGAAATACAAAGGAAGGATTATCAGCTAACCCTAACCCTAACCCTAACCCTAACCCAGTATACACTAACTCTAACCCTCTTTTCACAGTATTATATAAGATTATTATTCTGTTTTTATCACCTACAAATACATTTATTATCATTCTGACTGTTTAGAATACTGTATATGATTAGCAGTACTTTGTTTCTTCATGGTTGATTGCACTTATTGTAAGAAGGCTTTATTAACAATAAGGTAGGGTGAGTTGCCCTAATGTGGGATACTTGTTTGAAGGTTGCTCCACCACCCTCATCTGTGATTGGACATTTGAGAAGTCATGTGATTTTTGATTAAATGACATCACAGCTTGTGTTAACCCATAGTTTCATTGACTCATTTGTTTGAGGAAGACCTACACCGTCTGGAGCTTAAGTGTCCCACATTAGGGAGTGTCCCAGACTGTCCCACATTAGGGAGTGTCCCAGACTGTCCCACATTAGGGCAACTCACCCTACTTTAGTCGTTCATCATAACATCATGTAAGTATGTAATGTGTTTTTATGTGCAGAAATCTGTTCAGACTGGGTTTTAAAGTGTGATTCATGTTGTGTCTAAGTTAATATGAGTGTTAAAAACAGTAAATGTAGGGCAGTAGAAGTATATGTAAAACATGTAAATACTCAAGTAAATGTCAAAATAATACTTCAGTACAATACTTAAGTAAATGCACTTAAGTTTCATCCTTTACTTTCACAACTTCTTAGTTTTTAATCACCATTTGTTATGACTTTATGAATCCCTCTCGTTCTCTAACTCCCAGTTTGGGTTTTATAAACTAGGCGTGCTGCACATTATCGTCATCATTTCTGCTCCCATGAGGCGGGGGTGGGGGGGTGGGGGGGGGGGGGGGCTTCGTGAATCGTAAAGGCCTCAGGTTTTTTTTCTTGAATGTGCGTGTGGAAATAATGATTGTAATGGTTTGCAGCTGAGTAGTGGGAGCTGTGAATGACATTATGATTGTGGTGCAATTACCGCGCGCATGAAAACAGCCCGTCACTCACAGTAATGAGGAATGACTCCAATAACACATTTAACACAACAGAAAAAACATGAAAAATAATAATATTGATAATACAAAGAAATAATGGGAATAACATGTGTAGAAAAATAATAATAAATGCATACCCGGTATGAGTCTGACACTACAAAGCATTCAGGCATCCCTGGACCTCTGGAGGGTTCTTCGTTACACAGGAAGGCTTCAGATGCCTGAAATACAACACAGAGAATATTATTTATATTATTTAACACTGTCTTTATGTTCAGGTCATTCAGAAACACACAGAAAGCTGGTGGATCAGCTGTCAATGCAGGCTTTGTATGTGAGAATCAGCTTTATCCTGCTTATATTGACATGTATTGATCATTCTCAAGTCCCACCACCAGAAAACAACTTCAAAAACATTGATAGGGTTGCTCCTAATGATTTTGTATATTCATTTACAACTTTTTTAGGTTCAGGAGATTTAAAAACACACAGAAAGCTGTCGGATTAGCTGTAAATGCAGGTTTTGTATGTGAGAATCAGCTTTATTCTGCTTATATTGACATGTGAATTGATTATTCTGAAGTCCCAACACCAGAAAACGACTTCAAAACATGAATCTAGGGTTGACATGATGATTATTTACATTGTGGAGTTAAATGTTGATTATTTGCATGATTAATAGATTATTTTAATAGATATTTTTTTAAACATTTTTGCACCCCTAAAATGTTTTTATATTCAGTATACTGTCGAAAAAGATGTAAGAAACAAGAAAAATGTACATTTAAGAAGCTGGAATGAGAGAATTTAGACGTTGTTCCTCCTTCAAAATGATCAAACTGATGAGCTGAATATCAAAGCCGAGGATGATGTCTTTAAATGTCTTGATATTCAGATTACTTTCATAAAAGAGTGAAGAAATAGGGGAAACAAATCTGATTTAAGAAGCTAGAATAGTTGATTTATTTCTGGATTAATTGATTATTTTGGTCTTTAAATGTCAGAAATTGGGATAAATGTCCATCAGTGTCTCCCAACGCCCAAGATGACGTCCTGAGATGTGTTTTTTAGATATTCAACTAAAACAAAAACAGAAATCACATCAGAGAATTTTCTCCTTCAAAACGACTCAAACCAATTAATTAACTGTCAAAATACTTGGCAATTAAATTAAAGTTTGCAACTCATGATTGATCGCCGCAGTGATCTACTTTCATCCTTACATTCAACACACACACACCTCTTGAATGGGGGAGTGTTTAGCTCCCACACAAAGGCATTTCCTGTCCCTGCTGTTTCACCTGCATGGTCACTTTTCTGTGAGCGCGCACTGATTCAGCACAAATCATTCACACACACACACACACACACACACACACACACACACACACACACACACACACACACACACACACACACACACACACACACACACACACACACACACACACACACACACACACACACACACACACACACACACACACACACACACACACACACACACACACACACACACACACACACACACACACAGGCCATATGTCTGCTCACTTATACACAAACACAAGCATCACAATCACCCACAGATGCAGACAAGTGTTTATAAATACTCTGTTACAAATACAAAACCTGCATTGGAGATATTACTCTACTCCAGAGGTGGATTGTAATAAAATACTCGAGTATCATAATTAAGTACCATTTGGAGGTACTTTACCTGCTTATTTACATGTTGCAGCACATAATGCAAGAAGCTCAAAACACAACGGAGACCAGGGGACACTAAAGAGTGACGCACACAGTCGGGACACCAGGGGACACTAAAGAGTGACGCACACAGCCGGGAGACCAGGGGACACTAAAGAGTGACGCACACAGCCGGGAGACCAGGGGACACTAAAGAGTGACGCACACAGCCGAGAGACCAGGGGACACTAAAAAGTGACGCAAAAAGCCGGGAGACCAGGGGACACTAAAGAGTGACGCACACAGTCGGGAGACCAGGGGACACTAAAGAGTGACGCACACAGCCGGGAGACCAGGGGACACTAAAGAGTGACGCACACAGCCGGGAGACCAGGGGACACTAAAGAGTGACGCACACAGCCGAGAGACCAGGGGACACTAAAAAGTGACGCAAAAAGCCGGGAGACCAGGGGACACTAAAGAGTGACGCACACAGTCGGGAGACCAGGGGACACTAAAGAGTGACGCACACAGTCGGGAGACCAGGGGACACTAAAGAGTGACGCACACAGCTGGGAGACCAGGGGACACTAAAGTGACGCACACAGCTGGGAGACCAGGGGACACTAAAGAGTGACGCACACAGTCGGGAGACCAGGGGACACTAAAGAGTGACGCACACAGCTGGTGACCAGGGGACACTAAAGAGTGACGCACACAGCTGGGAGACCAGGGGACACTAAAGAGTGACGCACACAGCTGAGAGACCAGGGGACACTAAAAAGTGACGCACACAGCCGGGAGAACAGGGGACACTAAAGAGTGACGCACACAGCTGGGAGACCAGGGGACACTAAAGAGTGACGCACACAGCTGGATACCAGGGGACACTAAAGTGACGCACACAGCTGGGAGACCAGGGGACACTAAAGAGTGACGCACACAGCCGGGAGACCAGGGGACACTAAAGTGACGCACACAGCTGGGAGACCAGGGGACACTAAAGAGTGACGCACACAGCTGGGAGACCAGGGGACACTAAAGTGTGACACACACAGCTGGGAGACCAGGGGACACTAAAGTGTGACGCACACAGCTGGGAGCGGAGCGCTTGGTGAAGTACTCATTATGTAGAATGTCTCTCAAAAAAATAAGTATTATTACAAAATATTGTTCTTTTTAATGTTGTAATTTGTCAGTTTGGCGCCATGTGTGTACTTTGTGTACTACCGAGTATATAAGTATATGAACACATCATGGTATTCATATAAAAAGTAAATATACATGTACCTCAAAACTCTACTTTAGGATCGGGTTTTTTGGTCCAAAATAGTACAAATTGGTTTTCGCCAATGTCTGTTTTGGATTTTAACTAAACCTGTTATGCGAGGGGTTTAAAACGATTGGGTTATTAATATATAACTCTATTTCTGTGAGTTAAAGTTCAGGATTAGCAGCTTTGAGTTGAGTTCCTGCACAGAGAGGAAGAAATAATCCTATTTTCCAGACGTTTCCCGCCTCTCACCGTCCCTTAAAGCGAACACAGAGCAGGAACAAACAGCGCTCGCAGCCAGAAACAAAATGTAAAGTTACACTATTAAAAGTGGCATGTGAGGTAAACAATCTTTTAGGGAATTTAAACAGACTTTTAAGCATTTACATATGCACAGTAACGGGTGACACGGGGGTGAAACACACACGTGCATAAACACACGCCGCTATAATAAGTCCCAGACCGCGGCTGCAGAGAGAAGCTATTCGTATCCTGCAGAATGAGAGGTTACTCTTTCCCTCTCACTGTAGCTCAGGACGTGTGTGTGAGCTCAGTCCATCTCTGCGCTGATTAACGTCAAATTAACTTTGCTTTTGTTTCTCCATCTCGCGGGAAGTTTAGCGAAGGCCACGTGAAGCGGTTAAAGGCAGTGGTAGAAGAAGAACTTATATATACACTGCAGGGTTTTGCGTGCGCCCTCTTACTCTCGGAAAACAATATTTTCAAAAATGGTATAATTACTCCAGAAATATGAGTATCAAACAGAGCGTCAGACAAGGTGTTGTAGTACTCAAGACCGGTCTTAGTCTCGAGACCACTATTTAACGGTCATGGTCTTGTCTCGGAATCGACCGCATTTGGTCTCGGTCTTGTCTCGGTCTCGGACCTATAGGTCTCGAGATTTTATGTCAAGACCGGTCGAGACCGTTCTTATTATACATCCATGGTCGAGACCACGGCTGTTGCTGGGGATGTGATTGGATGTAAAATGCCCTGTTTAAAAAATGTAAACCAATAACGTGACTTCACGTGACTCTTTGCCCTCGTGCGCCGCAATGTTCGTAAACATGGCACTGGTCTATACCGGCTGCTACCCCCCCCCACCTCTCCCCGTTCACACACACTCAAACGGTCTTGCAGTAAAGATGTCGCGAAATTCATCAACCATTACATTTGGCTACACAAGCTCCACAAATTGGCGTGTGTGTGTGTGTGTGTGTGTGTGTGTGTGTGTGTGTGTGTGTGTGTGTGTGTTTGTCTACAAAAGTGGTTCCTGGTTGGTTTGTTTTTTGTTTGTGGCTTAGACCTATATACCGTAACATTTATATTATGATGTTTTATATTATGTTCGTACTATCTTACTGTTTTTATATGAAAAGGATAACTTTTTGAATAAATATGATGAAGTTGAATTGATATCTTACGTATGTGTGTCTTTTTATGATGATGTGGATCTTTCAGATCAAATTGACTCTGGTATCTTACACACGATATTGTAAGTGTATCATGTAGTGTTGGATTCACAGTAGTCTGGTTCCGGTCTTGATTCAGTCTCGCCCTGCCTTGGTCTTGGTCTTGGTCTTGGTCTTGGTCTTGGTCTTGGTCTTGGTCTTGGTCTTGCTACTCTCCGGTCTCGGTAATGTCTTGGTCTTGGTCTTGGTCTTGTCTTGTCTTGGTCTTGGTCTTGCTACTCTCCGGTCTCGGTAATGTCTTGGTCTTGGTCTTGTCTTGGTCTTGTCTTGGTCTTGCTACTCTCCGGTCTCGGTAATGTCTTGGTCTTGTCTTGTCTTGGTCTTGGTCTTGTCTTGGTCTTGGTCTTGCTACTCTCCGGTCTCGGTAATGTCTTGGTCTCGGATAAGTTGGTCTCGACTACAACACTAGTCAGACGGCAGAGAGAGCTTTGTTTTTACGGAGCTCCGACGTCACGTTGTTGTTTACGGGCGTCATTGAGAGAATTTATATATCTTATAGACAAGATCAGAGACACAGTATCACCTCATACTATAGTTTATTATACCTATACTATTGACATGTGACGATAATACATAAGCAATGTTATCAGATCTTAATCGAGATAATTGATATATCTTAAAAACAAGATCAGAGACACATTATCACCTCATACTATACTTTATAGTATACCTATACCATTGACATGTACCTATAATACCATGATATTCCATAAATATGTTATCAGATCTCAATTATATTAAAAATAATTCAAATATTTTGCCCTTTTTAACTAAAATATGAGGTTTT